GGAGGGGGGGAGATTAAGTCCCTAGATTCCTTGATGTCAGCCGTATCCCCAGAGGCCCCCATGACCCTTAGGGGCTGCTCAAAAAACATGTGACAGCCAGTGTGGTGGTGCACACCTGTCATCCCAGCACTCTGGAGGCTGAGGAGGAAGATGGCCAAGTTTGAGCCCAGCTCAGGCAACTCAGGGAGACCTTGCCCCAAAATAAAAATGTTGGGGCTGGGGAGGCAGTGGCATAAGCACCCACCTGGCAAGCACAAGGTCCCAAGTTTGATCCCTGGTAACACAAATAAAAATAAACATAAAAAATAACATCAAGGGCTAAGGATGCAACTCAGGGTTCCATCCCCAGTGCTGCAAAAAGGAAAGAAAGTGGCTCAGCTGCAAGCGGCCACAAGCTCTTCCCCACCTGACATCCTTGGCACTGTCCTCGCCAGAGCACCTGCTGTTCACCGCGCACCTGTCGTGTGCCAGGCTGTTCCAGAGCAGAGCACACTGCACACAGTGCCAGCCCTTGGCCCTCTCGAGGGAAGGGAGGATGGCGTCAGAAGACACAGCAAGGCCCCTTATACCAGGGATGACAAGTGCTACAGGGAAAAAAAGAAGACTATGACAAGGAGAAGACAAAGGAGGGGCCAGATGGATGAAAGGAGACTGTTTTACCACAAGGTCAGGGAGGGCTCACTACAAGAAAAAACTGCACATAAACCTTGAAGGAACTAAGAGAGCCAAGTGACAGATTCCAAAAGAAGCAATCCAGGTAGAGGGCACAGCCGTGCAAAGGTCCTGGGGCGGGATGGAGCCCCATGGGGTACAGGAGCAGAAGGAGGCGGGGTGGAGCGGCAGCAGGGAGACAGGGAGGGGACGGGCGGCCACGCAGGGCCCCGTGGGCTGCAAAAGGACCTGGGCTCTGGCCCGGGGACGTGGGAGCTGTGGAGGGCTGAAAGCAGAGGGAAGACCAGATCTGAGCCAGTTCTGAACTGGATCCTTCCGGAATATGTGTTCCGGTCCAGGCCAGCTAAGGATGACGGAGCTGGACCAGGTGGAGGCGGAGGAGGGGGAGATGTGGGCAGATTCTGGGTGAAGGCAAAGCTGGCATAACTCGCTGCCAGATTAGATGTGGGAGGGGGCAGGAATGAGACCGCTGTCTGAGGCCTCAGGAGACAAGACGGTGGGGGAAACAGCTCGGGCCAAAACCCAGTCACGGCGGCAGCCTTCACAGTGGACCAGGCAAATGTCCCCAAGCCCCATCCCCGCGGAGACCGCTCGAGCAGCCACCAGGGTTTTGGCTGGACCTTGGAAGCAGGGAGCCCTACACCCAAGACGAGACCTTGCCCCCTGTCAGAACGGCTGCAATTATGAGTGGGATGCTCACAACTGCGACTGCTGGGGACATCCACCTGACAATGGGGGCGCCCAGGAGAGTGTCAGTGGGGTCTGTTTGTTCACCCTTGACCCAGCACTGCCCTCACACAGCTGGGGTGTGCACTGGGAGACACCAAGCACCCACAGTCAGACCCCAGTTCTTTTTTTGGAGGGGGCAGAATCGGGGATTGAACTCAGGCCCTTGCGCTTGCCAGGCAAGTGCTTATTCTACTGAGCCATCTCCCCGACTCCCTAGACCCCAGTTCTTTTTTTTTTTTTTTTTAGGAACCGGGGATTGAAAAGACCCCAGTTCTTAAATGCTTACGTGATGACATTCCACTGACAAAAAGCACCTGCACACGGTCCATATGTGGGGGTGCTAGGTCAACACCAGCGGTCACTAACCCTGATTCCTTTACAGCTCAGGTGGCAGGCAAAGGCAGGAGCAAACATCACCCTCTTTCTGGACAGGGACCCCCAGGTCTCAGGCACGTGAAGGACACACAGCAGTACAGCTCTAGGATGTCTCCCAATAACTGATACAGAGGTGGGGACAAACTATTTCATGATTGCTACAGAAAGCATGGTGGCACACACCTGTCATCCCAGCAATCATGAGGCTGAGGCAGGAAGATCACCCACAGGTTCACAGCCAGCCTGGGATACATAGTGACTGTCTCAAAACCAAAAACATTGCTACAGACGGTAGTCTCAGAGTATCAGACACAGTACCAGGGTTCTTAGGAAGCAGATTCTGTCCTGGCAAACAATATCTGAGGACATCTGAGGATGGCCCAGTGGGGATGCTCTTGGTATGGGACAGATGAAGACTGAAGATGCTGCTGCTTTAGTGCCCAGGATACCCCTAAAAATAAAGAATTTTAAGGAGCTGGGGAGATGGCTCAGTAGAATAAGTGCTTGCCTGGCAAGCACAAGGGCCTGAGTTCAATCCCCGGTTCTGCCAAAAAAAAGAATTTTAGAGCTAGGATATAGTTCAACAGCATAGTGCCTGCCCGGCAAGTATAAGGTCCTAAATTTGATGCCCAGTACAAAAGAAAAAAAATTTTACCAGGTATGGTGGCACATGCCTGTTACCCCAGCATTGAGGGAGGCTGAGGCCCGAGGATCCCAATTTTGAGCCTACTCTGGGCAACTTAGTGACTTATGATACCTTGTCTCACATAAAAAAGGGTATCCTGGGGATGGAGCTCAGTGTGAAGGCCCTGGGTTCAATCTCCAGTACATCAGAAAAAGAAGGGGCCAGCTGACAGCTCAGTGGCATAAGCACTTGCTTGGCAAGCACAAGGACCCAGGTTCAATCCCCTTGTACGACATGCCATGCTGGCCCCAGAACCCCAGGCACACTGTACTAACCACCAAAACCAGGCATGGTAGCCCACTCCTATAACCCCAATGATGGGGAGGCTGAGACAGGAGGATCACCACTAGTCTGAGCTACATAGCAAAACTCTGCACAAAATAAATAAGTGAACTGCAGGGCCAGGGAGACGGCTCAGTAGAATAAGCGCTTCCCTAGGAAGTGCAAGGGCATGAGTTCAATCCCCAATTCTGCAAAAAAAAAAAAAAAAAAGATTTTAATAAATAAATAAATAAGTGAACTGGGGCTGGCCTGATAGCTCAGCGGACTAAAGGGCCTGCTTAAGCAGAGTGCAGCAGCCAGGGTTCAATCCCTGGTGTGTCGTGCTGGCGATTGAGACAGGGCATGATGGCGCAGGCCTGTAATCCCAGCACTTGGGAGGCTGAAAACAGGAGAATCACTAAGAGCCTGATCTACGTAGTGAGACCCTGTACACCCTGTTGACCCTGTCCTAAATACAGAAAATAAATAAATAAGTGAACGAATGAATAAATAAATAAATAAGGACTTAAAAAAAAGAAGAAAAAGAAAAGCCCTAAAAAAAAGAAAACAAAACAAAAAAAGGGCCGGGGAGAGGGCTCAGTGGAATAAGTGCTTTCCTAGCAAGCACGAAGGCCGGAGTTCAATCCCCGGTTCCGCAAACAAAAAAAAAAAAAAGAAAGAAAACAGAAAAGCCCTGGACAGTCACCACCCAAACTCCACAGCACTTACACCAGGAGACATGGTTCAGAGGAGCAGCAGCAGGGAAACAGCGGGCCAGCTGGTAGAATCAGATCTCTGCGGATTTCAGGGCCAGGCAAGGAGGGGCCCTCCCTTACCTCCTGGCTCCTCTATCTGTCCCCAATCAGATCACCAAGCTCCTGATAAAACAAATGCTTCCCCTGTGGCCTTCTTGTGGTTAATGAGTCCAGTTCCCTATGAGACTGCCAGTGGCAGGAAGTCAGGGGGCTGGGGAAGGGACCCTGCTGGGCTCCTCCCCTGGGCCTGCCCGCTGGTGGCCTCACTTGGGCACGGGTGTCAGCAACGATGAGAAGGTGGGCAATGAATGAGGTCACTGACCGGGTGGCTCACTGCCTCACTCTCTCCTCTCTGTCTTCAGACATTTTCCCCAATCCCCAGGCAGCCTGGCATCTCTTTGCGTGCCCTCCTGCGAAGGAAGCTGCAGGAGGCCCCGGGAGAAAGAAGACGGGTGCCCATGTGGCTGTCCAGGGGGACACCGAAGAGGCTGCCAGGGAGGGCCGCCTGGGGAGAGCACGAGTTCTGCAAATCCAGACACTTCCTCTCAAGGAGCTTGTGACCTGCAAGGAAGCGCAGCACTGTAGGCTCCAAGACTCAAGCTAGGCCTCCAGGGAGGTGCCCAGGAGGGGCAGATACAGCCCCCCAGAGATCCAGGCCCAGCCAGTGTCCCAGGGAAGAGGCTGGGGGTGCCGGGACTACAGGGCACTAAGGCCATCTCTTATTCCACTAGCTCTCTGGGAAGACAGCTTGAAACATTGTCCCTTTTAAACCCGGCATTTTACAGAGAGGTAAACTGAGGCCCAGAAAGGTAAAGAACAGTTGGCACAGCAGTATATAGGTCTGGGGACTTAAAAGACAGCTGACACCGAGCCTCAGCCAAACCGAAGACCTTCACCACCACCCAAGCAGGTGTTCCCCTTCAAGACCATACAGGTGACTGCTTTGTAGGGGGCAGGTTTGGAAGGTGACAATGGGCACCCCAGGGGGTGGTTCCAGGAAGCCAGGATGGAGTGGGGTTTCTCCACCATCCCACGCACAAGCGAACAAGAGCGGGTTGGATGTCATTCTTAAGCCCTGTAAAGGACTGAGATCGCCCACCCGGCCTCCTACACTGGGATGCCCCAGCAGACCTCTATGCAGACTGTTTCCAGCACGACTAACGGCGTCGTGCTCCACCCACCGATTCCCAGACAAGGTCCTTTAACTGTCTCTCTAGACCTTCTGCTCCCCACAGGATCCCTGGAAAGAGCGGAGCGAGACGAACCCCGCGCCCCTCGAGCAGCATCCTGGCTATACCCTGTGCGCGCCCCGCGTGGACCGCTCCGACCCGGCGAACCCCCCTGCGCACTACTGAGTGGACCGCGCCTGCCCGGAGACCCCCGCGGGCGCCCCTGAATGGAATGCTCCCGCCTGACGCCCCCCGCGAGCCTTCGGCCCCTGCGCGCCCGGACTAGCCCACTGCACCACTGCGGGGGGAGCCGGCCGGCCCATTCAATCCGAGGGGGGCGACGCAGGGCCGCACCGTTACCTGCCGCCGCTCCGCTCTCCGCCGCCCAGGCCGCCTCTGCCGTCACGGCCCCCGCCTCGGCGCTCTCTGCCTCATCCGGCACCTCCAGCTCCATGGCCGAACGCCCCAGCGGCGGCGGGCCCGAGGCTGCACCCGAGCTCGGCCGCCGCCGCTGAACAACAAGCGCCGCCGGCCCAGTGCGAAGGGAGGGGCCCGGCATCGGGGGCGTGGTGAAAGGCGGGGCCATGCGTGACGCACGTCGCACAGCCAATCGGGATTGAGGGCGTGGCCTAGTGTCGGCGCTGTCCAGGAACTCCGAGAGTGCCCCCATGCGTCCAGAGACAGAAGGACGTCGCGGCGTGTTGTGACATTGTATAGGAGTGAAATGTGGTTTCTGCCACCCGCCAAAGGACATGTTCTGCTACCTACATTATAAACTAGGAATGTGCATGTCATTATTTTGTTGATATTATTCATTATTAACATTAACATGTTTTACAGTTAAATGTAAAAATATTGATACTCTTTCTATTTTTATGGCATTAAATTTTATGATTTACATAAATAAATGTCCATACTCATATAAATATATTATAAAAAAATATATGTAGCCCGAGAGTGGTGGTGCACTCCTGTAATCCCAGAACTTGGGAGGCTGAGGCAGGAGGATCACTGCAAGTTTAAGGCCAACCTGGACTACATAGCAAGGCC